TTTCCCCCCCACCCACCCCACCCCCGCTCCTTACCCCAGAGCAATAAAGACTCAATTTGTCATTCCTTGGGTTCCTTTCTAAAGATCAAGCAGGAAATCCCTCAATCACCAGCCAGCAAATGGGCAGTAAATCTGCTGAGGAGACACAAGTCTCATTCCCGTCAGTTGACTTGGTTTCTCTTGCTAAATATTTCATGGGCACTTGATTCACAGCTTCTTGGCTGACGTTGCCATGAAAATAATAATATTTTATTTAAGGGAGCCTGAGTCCGATGAGAACAAGACAGAGTGTCAGTTTGCCATTGTCAGCATTGTCTTTGTGAGGGCTCCATTGCTAGCTGCGAGCAAGTTCCATTGACATCCCCCCCTCCAAGTTTAATTCAGCAATATCATCAATGTCAGTGGGAATCCAGGGGCTGCCAGCTATTGGTCATCTGGACCTGACATAAACTCAATAAATACTCTATAACCCTTGACAGCCGCCAGCCGATTAGCCTCAAATGAGTGATTGCACAACCAGCACCTGCTGAACCAAATCAGCCTGTTGACAGATGGGCCTGTTTGGAGCTCTGACCACAAGTGAGATCAGTGGAAGAATTATTTTCTGCTCCGAGAAAAGAATTAGGAAGGGTGGCTACAACAATTGGAAAACTTTCATGAGCTCCTCCTCTGCCTTCCTCCTCCTTCACTTCGGGCCCCAAACATTCACTAAAAGAATTGTGTTATGGGCATAATATGGGCTTTTCAAACTGAACTATACACCTTTTCTTCATTTTAATATCTTCTGATATAGGAGTGAAGTCAAATGAAGCACAGAAGAAGGCTTTTGAAGGAATTGTGTATTTAGTAACAAGCATAAGGAAGTTGCCGACATGATTGGATTCCATTTGAAGGCATAGAAGAAATCTACTAAGACTTGATCTCTCCTTATGCTATATATATGCATTTTTTCTTACACAGGCCTCCAAAAGCTTTAGCACACTGGTTGATAATCATTGGCCCCAGATGTTAGTGAACTACAGTACTATTCTTCCCTGATCATTGGCCTAAATGTCAAGGCATGATAGACATTGTAATCCAGTAACATTTAGAATTCAAGCTTGGAAACAATAAATGAAAAAGAAATATGGACATTAACAAAAATAGTATATTTAATGATAATGAGATTTTCCTTACTACATCCACATTTATTCTTCCCTTCATACATTTTGTTCTGCATTCTTTACAACTCTAGATCTACATATTAACCAGGTGATTTTCTTAAATTAATTCCAGAACTGGAGCAGGAAACAACTTGCCATAACTTTCCATTCCTTCATTTATTTTGTACCAGATTGCCACTTTACCTGACCTTAGTGACTTCAAGATGTATTGAGTGTGACATGTGATCCCAGCCATTGTGTTCAGATGGGACCCAGAGGTTCCTTGTTTTGATGTCATACTGAAGAAATAATAATGTTCTTGCCTAGCTTCATGATGGATGCATTTTGTAAACTTCTATGATGCCTGCACTTGACAAATTCAAACTAAGAGAACATGGATGCATCTGAGGGTAAAGGTCAACACCAAAAAAGACCTTATATAATTTATATGTTGGCTTTAAAATTCCCAGATCTCTGTCATTCAGGATTTGCTGCCTATGGGTTTAAACAAATGTCTTTCCTTTATCATAAATTCTGTGCAACTATTTTTTCTACCTACGGATTGGGTGAATAATGGTTCACCAATCCTCATAAGTAAGCCTGCTTCTCCATCACAAAACATAAATAAAAACAACCAGAACAAAACCTTGCTCTTTCTTTTTTTGCTCTTTCTTCCACCTCCCACCCCCCATTTTGGCTTCAATGACATTTCTGGTTTGAAATGATGTCTAGAGTAGGAGTTTGCCAACATATTTGAGAGTAATTCGATCTATACTCTCGCTGCCAACTCAAATCAGATATAAGCTTGACCTCAGAAAATGGTGCCTTCTCCTACAAACTTTGGTTTCACATTGAGGTAACAGACTTGTATTTATACCGAGACAAAAGATATACCACTTCCTTAATAGTACTTAAAGGACTATTTCTTTTAATATATCCAACCTACCTTTAGCCAGTTCCTGGAAAAGAAGGGCCATGTTGAACTTAACGGTAGAATATTTGACTGTGGAAGCATTTGGATTGCTGTTCTGGCTGCAAAAGGAGGTTTTTGTAACTCTGTGTTTTCAAAGCAAACTCATGATCCTTTCAATGACTCTTTAAAAAAAGGCAGGCAAACCAAGATAATTTTTTCACAGGTCTGTTGCTGGCATTTTGGTGGGTAGAGCGCCATCTGGGGACATCATGGTGAAGTGGAAGTAAAGCTGAGAAGAGGTTGGAGAAACAGAGAAGGAAATCTTGGTTTTGACAGCTACTGAAACATGAACTGTATTTATAGAAATTCAAAACTGGGTTTTCTTGTAGTCTGACATGCAGCATGTTTAAGTTGTTTAGCAGGTGCTTCCTTGCTATGATCGATTTTAAACAGCTTTTATATCCAAAGGAGCATTGCCAGATGATCCTTTCAAAAATTGGAAATATCAAAAGGAATGCATAGTATTCCTTTAAAACAGGACTGACTGTAAATAAAAGTTCCTCCCGACTTACTCAGGATGGGACTGGTAGTTTCAAAGAGATAGTGGGTAGCAAACTGAAGTCTGTAGGGTACAACTGCCCAACCTTGCCATACATGGTCTTCTAAGGACATACTCTTTTCTTGGACATACCAGGCATAGACATCCACAGAGGGTTGACAGTGATGATCATGATGCAAGTAGAAAAGGGCAGAGTTTGCAATGGGACATCACAATGCACATTTCATAATTTTGGCATAATCATTATGAGGAATGGATCCCTGTGATTCCAAGGCTCTTTCCTGATATGTTCAACTTTCTTACAGAATGAGAGGAAGAGGCATTAGTCAATAAGAATTAAATATGCTTTCAGTTTGTACTGTACACTGCATACCAAATTATGCATAGTTAGGTTCTTGATGTTCTTAAGTGATCTCTTACCAGCTGGTATTTCCCTCAAGCCGATCTTCTCCTACTGGGTACTGTGTATAGCTAGGAGTTCTATAAACTGGAGTTCAAAATATCTAAAGATACTTTGCACAAAAGCTAATTCAGGTCTTCTTGATTCAAGTTTCTGGGTTGGCCCTAAATACTGTGAAAAGTGGGAAAATACTTAGTTGCTCAGCCCTCAGTTTGGTTATTATCCATGCATCACCAGAAGAAAGAAATTGCATAATCCCCTGAAAACAGAGAAATGATTATATGGGTTGGCTTAAAAATTGCATGGCCAAATGCATACCTTTGTTTAAAAACAATTCAAGCAGAAATACGATATATTTCATCACACTGGAAAAGGTGGGAACCAAGTGACTTGGCTCCTGCTCTGTCCAGGTTTAAGTGTCGAATGAGCAAATTCCAATCCTCTGCTTTCCTTTCTTAATGGTTTCTTAGCTTTGATACAACATGTCGTGTGATAGCTTTCATGTAAAAGTCTATCCTCTGTAAAATGGGACATGCATCCATCCTAGCCGTGCTTCTAACACCCAGAAATGATTCTAAATTTGCCAGTCAAAAAGCTCATGAATTACTATCAGTCTCTTACTTAGCTTTCCAGTCCCTAGTCCTGCCAACAAACATCCTTGGAAGAAAGTTCTCCTGACTTGTAAATAGAACCTTCCTGCATTCCCGCTGAATCTGCTCTTAGCTGCTATGCACAGCCTCTTGCCAATTAACCAATTAGCAGTTAATTTAATTTGTTTGACCTGAGTTATGGCAGAGAGTTCCTTTGCCCACAGAGTGCCATGACAGATATACAAAGCAAACATTAACAATCCTCTCTGCTGGATCAAGTCTTGGGGCCACTCCAGAACAAAGGAAATTGTGACCAGAACATAGTGCATAAAAAGGGTTACTCATTCTGCAAATTAAACTCACTTGGAAAAGAGACAGATTTTATATGTGTATTTATTCACTCAGAATTAAATAAAAGTGATGTTCAAGTTTTGCTTTAATGCTACCTGGGAATATGCATAGATCTAAATCTGCAGACTGGATCCTATCACAACATAATCCCAGGGAAGTGTGTGTGTGTGTGTGTGTTAAGAATTGATGTCTGAAATTACTAGCAATCCAACATTTTCAATTAAAGTAAAGTGTGGTGGGGGGTGGGGGACACACTTCTTTATATACTTGACAGAGTTTATAATTGGCCAAATCTCCTTGTGTCCATGTTTCTAGTTCCTGTCATATCATCTTTCTGTCAAACAGTTAAAGCAGAACTGGCAGCATTTGAAAAGTCTCACTGTCACTTTGCAAAGTACTTAGCAAAGCCTGCAAATGGATGGATACATTTTCAGTGTTTCTGGCCTGCACCTCAAAAGCGGCTTTCCCCCCCCCCCCACTATAATTGCAATTGATGTTTATCTTTGGCCTTGTAAAATGGCTTAGTGGTTTGGAAATGATTTAACGGAGAAATAAGTATGCAAAACCAGAACAAGTTTCTGTCAAACTCAGAATTTTGCCTTCCCTTGCCAGTGAACCCAAAGCACCTTTCAGACAGTGATAGCTGCAGGGGACAAATAACTTCATCTGGCTGTTATGACATCTTGCAAATATTCTATCTAATATTGACCTAGCTAAAATATGCTAAGTGTCTTGGGTGTTTTGCCAGGCAGATTGAAAGCCATTGTTCCAGCAGAAACAGGTATAAGGAAGTTGTTGAGTCGCTTGGGCCTGCAGTGCTAAACAGTTTACTTGAAGTAAATAATATTCTAGGTTTCTTTCCCCTCATTTTACAACAATATCAATATTCTTACAAATCGATAATATTCTTGCAAATAACTTTACTGCTTAATCTGACACAATCATATCTAGGAGTTGCAACTGTTGCTTCTCCTGAAGCAATGTTGGTTTACATCTTTTGGGTTCATAGGCAAGTGTCAAGTGTGTAGCACCCTTATTCCTTAAAACAACCATGTTCGTTTTAAATGGCATCTGTGAAAACCCCAAATTAATCTTGTGACACCTCTGCATTTCTTGAGCTATTAGGGCTCTCACCTGAAATCTTTCCCTTCCCTTCCAGAACACATGGGACAGGCAGATACTACCTGGAGGAGATGGTCCCCAAGGTCTCTTGGAACTAAGCCATATAGTATTTTATAGGTGATAACAGCATTTTGAATTGGCTTAGAAGTTAACTGATAGCCAATGCTGTGACCAGAAAATTAGTGTTATATGACAATATCAGCTTTCACCCATTAAAATGCTGGCTGCCACATTTTGTACCAACTGCTATTTTTGAGCCATCTTCAAAGGTAGCCCCATGAACAGCACATTGACTGCCAAAGTGATTGCTCTGGGTAATGTTGCTCTCCATCTGAAGGAGCAGGTCCACAGCTTGATGTCCTCCCTGATCCATACCTCCTTATACTGGCTAGTAGAAACTCTGGCTGGGTTTGTAGGCCACTTTTGGCTGGACCTGGACTGTGAAGCCCTGGCAACAATAACACATTCCTTCTTACCACATACCTTGACTTCTGGAGTTCAACCTGAGGTTGGCATGGCACAAAGGGGCTGTTGCTTCGAGAAGGGGTAAAAAGTGCTGGTAACCAATAAATGTTCCACCCAGAGGAATGAGAGGAAAAAGATATTTGCAATATCCATCAGTGTGAGAGAGCCAGTCTCCACTTCTGCTAAGAAACCAGCACTTCTGCTAAGAAACCTTCAATATAACTTAGCATTGTTCTAAACAATTTACTTCCTATGGATTAAAGAAACAATGCAAAGTAGGTAATATGATTTCCAGTTGCATTTCATCCTTCATTTTAATCTTTTCTTACTTCTGTTATTAATTGACAACAAATAAATGTTGACATAACGAATTAAGTCAAAACATGGTCTGCAGGAACTTCATCCTGCATAAACACTCCACGATAATATAATATAACACAAATGTTATGTAGTGTGTCAGTCTGTCCATCCATCCATCCATCCATCCATCCATCCATCCATCCATCCATCCATCCTCAGTTGCAGTGGTAGATACTGCTTATGCATTGCCTATCAGCTGCCTACTCCTTTTAATTTTACAATTAAATCACTAACCCAAGTGAGTTTCCAAGTAGAAATTGGAAATGAGATTCTTTTCCCTTGTCCCTATTTGCATTCATAGAGTAAAATTCTGGTCTAATGGATTTTTTTTTTAAAGTCTCACAGAAAATCTAGTTCCTGTTTCTGTTTGTTCAAAGTATATATCTTCTCTTTATTTATGCAGTTGTTGACACAGATGTTCTTTTTTCCTTATCATTCTTTGTCACATACATTTTTGGAGTGCTTTAATATACATTTCACTGATGTGGATGCTTCTAAAAATATAACTTCCGCTGTTTGTACACAACTTTGTCCCGTACTTTTTTTTCAGGCATACTTTTTCATTTCTTTTAAGTGTTTCACTGGGGAGAGTTGTGGGCTATCAGAGTTTGTTTGAGGCTAGCATCAGCAGTTCATCAAAATGCACTGAGGGTTGTTCCCAATGGAATACAGGAAAATAAGTCCTTAACCACTACACCACACAGATGTTCCCTTGGAAGTTAATAGTAGTTGATGCCCACCCCTTTCTACAACACAGCATAAACTCATTGCTATATAAACTACATTTGCCAAGTTTTAAGTCCACTGTTTCCTTTGTTTTTCAGCCAGCCTCCCTGTATGTCCTCTGTTTGTGTAAATGATTCCCAAAGAGCACCAGCAGCCCCATGTCACAGCACTAGTATTATTATAATTTTAAAAAAGTTTCTCCTGTAGACTGCTGTGCTGGTGACATTTCCCTCAAATTGCAATAACTAACCTGTCACAGGCTACAAACGCCAACAATGCAAAGCCATGTGGGGTTGACTTAATAAACCTCATTTACATTCATTTTGATTCACTCAGGCATTGAAAAACATTTCACGGGGGAAGAGAAGGGGGAAAAATAACTAGGAAGCTCTTCAAGCTGACATGATGTTTGCTGATACGATATGAGCGGGCTTAATAGCTGTGTGGATGCAAACATGTATTCTGTACAATATTTGCAAATCCTTTTTATTTAGTTGCAAATTGTTTCTTGCACTGGCTGTGGAGCTGAGGTCCTGTCGA